GTCCCGACCTTGCACTCGTTTTGAATGGCTCTGCGCTAGTTCTCCCCTTTTTAATTTTAATTTTAATTTTGGTTTATTTATTTTGAGATGGAGTCTCTCTGTTACCCAGGCTGGAGTAACAATGGCATGATCTTGGCTCACTGCAACCTCTGCCTCCTGGGTTCAAGTGATTCTCCTGCCTCAGCCTCCCGAGTAGCTGCGATTACAGGCGCCAGCTAATTTTTGTTTTTGCAGAAGAGACAGGGTTTCCCCATGTTGGCCAGACTGGTCTTAAACTCCTGACCTCAGGTGATCTGCCCACCTCGGCCTCTTAAAGTGCTGGGATTACAGGCGTAAGCCACCGCACTCGGCCAGTTCTCCTCTTTTTAAAAATAAACTTTTGATTTGAGAACAGTTTGTACTTCGAAACTGCAAACACTACGGAGAATGCCTGTGTGCCTCACTGGTTCCCTCTGTTGTTCAGATCTGACATTCGTGATGTGCTGGACCGCTGTCAATGCACCACCCTTAACTGAAGTCCTGTCTTTATTCAGATTTCCTCCGCGTTTCCCAGATTTCCTTCTTCTGTGGCAGGATTGCACGTGGCATGTAGCCCGCGTGGCTCCTCAGACTTCCCTTGGCTGTGCTGTGAGTGTCTCAGACTTCTCTTGTTTTTCATGGCCTTGACAGTTTTGAGGGGGACTGGTTGGGAACATTGTAGAATGTTCCTTAATTTGGATGTGTCTGATGCTTTTCTTGTGATGAGACCAGAGTTCCGAGTCTTTGGATGAAGACCCTCGTGTAAAAGGCTACTCCCACCACGTGGCACCAGGAGACCCGCTACCAAGCTGACCCATCGTTGATGATGCTGGCCTTGGTCACCTGGCTGAGGTCATGTTAGTAGGTTTCTCCACTATGAAGGTCTCTCTCCTCCCCCGTTTCCATGTAATACTCTTTGACGGGAAGTCATTGTGCACAGCCCTCCGGTTAAGGAGTGGGGAACTATGTTCAAGTTCCTTGAGAGTGGACTGCCTGCCTAGATTACTTGGAATTTTTCTTCCAGGAGACTTTTCTATTCTGCTGGGCACATTTTACACACATTATCTCCTGTAATTTTCACAACTGGGAGGTTGATACTATCTCTTATCTTATAGATGTGGAAAAGTTGACTTCCAAAAGCCACCCAGATTCTGAGTGGCAGGCCTGGGCCTTGAACCTGGCTGTTCCCAGAGCCGGCTCTCTTTGTTACTGAGCTCATTGTCTCCACTGTGTTCCAGTGACACAATTTCATTCAAATGCACTTCCTCCCTGGGGCACTTGTGATCTTCTCTTAAGCAGGGTAGGGCTCATTGTGGGTGAGGGGGTGTTCTGGGGTTCTCTAGGTGAGCCTACCCTTGAAAGGGCTTCTCTGAGGATTTCAGGAACCAAGCCTGATTCATAATGTCCAAGTTGGACTGGGCTCAAACTAGACAGTGTCTCACTCTGTCACCCAGGCTGGGGTACAGTGGTGGATCTAGGCTCACTGCAACCTCCACCTCCCAGGTTCAGGCAATTCTCCTGCCTCAACCTCCCGAGTAGCTGGGAATACAGGCATGCACCATCACGCCCAGCTAATATTTGTATTTTTAGTAGAGACAGGGTTTCACCATGTTGGCCAGGCTGGTAGCCTCAAGTGATCTCCCTGCCCCAGCCTCCCAAAGTGCTGGGATTACAGGAGTGAGCCACCGTGCCCGGCCTCAAGCCAGATTTCAATGTGGCACGTGTTGGGTTTCCTTGTGCATGGAAGGCTGTGTATCTCATATATAACCTTTCTTATTTAAAAACCATGATGACTAACCAAAGGGAGTTTTCCTTTTATATATTTAAGGGAAACTCCCTTTGGTTAGTCATCATGGTTTTTAAATAAGAAAGGTTATAAGAAGCATTGGGTCCACCTTCGATTTCCATTGAATGGGATCATCTGTGTGATAAGAGGTATTATTCTGCCATCCTGGGAAAGCCCGTGGGAAGCAGGGTGTGATTTCCGGGATCATCGGAAGCTCAGGCTTAGAGTCAGAACAAGTCGGCTGCACGTTGGTTTTCGTGAACTCAACGTAACATGCAGAACAGGTGTGTATAATGGGCGGTTTGCCTTGTGGACTTTCAGTTTTTCCTCTTTCCACCTGTTTAAAGCACTTAGGATATATCAGTGCAAAGGAACATCCTGCTGAAGACTGACAGACACGCTATTTCACAGTTTAAAAAAATGGCTCCAAACGAATTACAGTTGGTTTCACTATGACCCTGGCTAAATCTGACAGGTGCCCATCAAGCATTTAACTGGACCTTAAACCAAACTGAGATCAAAGGATGCCCCCACCTTCCCGCACCACCCAGGTGAGAGTCATTCCGAAGCTCTGGGTGCCTGACTGCTGGCCTTACCCCTCCCGGTGTCCTGTAAAAGATGAGGCAGGACCACGTGGTGTAAACCAGTCAGAAAAGCCCTGGAGGCTGCCTGTGAGTCACACAGCCAGGGGGCCGCTCCATTTCCTTCCTGCTTGTTAAGGTCCTAATGCTGTTATATTCATCAGGGCTTCTCTTTCAAAAAGATACATGTTCCCCTTTTCGCATGTGTGGTGAGCTCAGGAGATGGGCTGAGGTCAGTGGTAAGGTGCTGCCGTGCTCTGCAGGAGGGTTCACCCCTGATTGTGGCTGCCTGTTGGTTCTTCGCTTGGGTTGATGAAGAGCAAATCCACAGCAAATCACATTAGTGGGGCAGCAGCCGCAAGCGGCTCTCAAAGGAGGAAGCTGGGTTCCAGCCCTGGCAGTGTTATCCCTCGGAGGGTGGCTGGGGAGACAGAGCCACTTGATGGATTGGAGGGTTTCATATTGGATTTACTGAACTGAAGGGGCGGGGGGAGCAGAGGCCAAGGGCGCCCAGCCCTGCCTGCTGGAGATCTGAGCTACAGCGGGAAATTCTGGAAGCCGCTGCAGCCTCAGGCTGGCTTGGTATTCTCAGTCTGCGGAGGTGGGCGGGGCTCGGGAGGCAACTCAGGTCGTACGGCTGCCCAACACCAGAGCAATGTCCTTGCAGCCTCTCTCCCATCCCAAATCTCAGGCAGTGCCACCCATTGGAAGTTTCTGTGCAAACCAGATGCCAGTGGGGATTCTGGGCCCCCGGGCCTGGCTTCTCCATGGTTCAGGGGCTCCTGGAGGGAGGTAATACTGAGTTAAGGAGGGAGTGCATAGGAATGGCCATGAGGCCCCCGAAGCCCCAGCAGTCGGGGCTGGAAGGAACATGCTTGAGTCGGAATGAATGAGTGGGGATTTCTGAGCACTGCATCATCAGTGCTTAAGAGTGGGGCCTGTGTCCAAGCACAGTGGCTCACACCTGTAATCCCAGCACTTTGGGAGGCTGAGGCAGGAGGACTGCTTGAATGGAGGAGTTTGAGACCAGCCTTGGCAACATTGGGAGATCCTATCTCTACAAAAATTTTTTAAAAGAATTAACTGGGTGTCATGCTGCTCGCCTGTGAGCCCAGGTACTTGGGAGGCTCAGGAGGGAGGATCTCTTGAGCCCGGGAGGTCCACACTACGGGGAGTTCTGATAGTGCTCCTGCACTCCAGGTTGGATGACAGAGAGACTCCATCGCTTAAACAAACAAAAAGGATGGGAACTGGGTACCCTGCACCTCCCCTGGGATCCAGGAAGAGAGACTCTGGCAGCTCACATTCCCAAGGGCTTCAGACTCATCAGCAGGGACCTGCCAGAGGTGACAGCTAAGGGAGGGTGCAGTGGAAGGGAGAAGAAGCTCTTTCCACCAGGTGTAGCTGGTCATGAAGGAGTGAAATGTGAGATTTCACTCTGGGATACTGGTTCTCAGCTGGAGTGTTCTTGCGCCACCAATGGCGATTTGGCAGTGTCTGGACACAACCTGTGCAGGAGTGGGGATGGTTGCTACTGGCGTCTAATGCGTAGAGAGCGGGGATCTGCCCTGCACTGCACAGGGCCGTCCCCACAACCAAGAGTATGCACCGCCCCCACGCCGACTGCGCCGACTGTGCTGAGGCTGGGACCCTGCTCCAGGGCGCTGAAGTCGGGGAGGGTGGGGTGTACTGACACAAGGACTTAGGGGCTAGCTGGCGCCGGGCGGCATGGACAGTTGACCCATGGGGATGCTCTCCCAGACCATTTTGGCTTTGCACGGTGAATCCTGGAAACAGCACTGTTGCTGTGATGTTGTTGCTGTGGTGTTCTCCTCATTCACCATTCACTGAGAGCACCGTGGGCTCGTCTGGGAATGAGCAGAAAATCAGATCCTTTTTGGAGGTACACGTTGACAAAGGGGAGAAATCTGTGTTCTCTAAGAAATCTCCTTACCCACTTTGCTTTATAGCCAAGGGCCTTGCTTGCGACACTCTGTGGGATGTTTGTGGCGGTTGGGGTTGGGGGGGGAGAGAGAGAGAGAGAGAAAGAGAGAGAGAGAGAGAGAGGGAGATACTGACTGCAGGCGGGAGCAGGGCACAGGTAGAGAGAGAGATTCCTGCTTCCGGGTGGGAACTGGCACTGTCCTATCGCCATGACGACGACTTTTTCCTCCCTGCAGCTCCAGAGCACTTGGAAGTGGTTCTCAAGCTCATTTGCAGCTTTCGAATCTATTTGCATGAGCGTCTCCTGCGGGGAGTTGAGGCTTCCTGCCTGCATTTGGTGCCTGGGGCTGCGCTCCCTACCTGCCCGCAGCCTCCCTGCTCCCCACATCCACCCCCGCAGTGTGATGGGGCAGCTCCGCCCCCGAGTGCTTTGCTGAAGGGAAACCACGTGAACCCCAAACAGCAGCGCAGCAGCCAGGGCAACGCCCTTTGATTTCTTTCGTTTCCTGGGCTCCAGGAGAATTCTATCCTGAAGTCCCAGGGAAACTCACACAGCAGACCGGCTGGTCCAGGGCTGACTCGGCGTCTCTTTCTCTTTCTAGGAAGGCCTGGCTGGATCGGCACGTTTTGTGGAAGTGGGAACCAATACACGTGTACGCTTCTCTTTACAGGGCACGCGATCATCACCAACTACTTGTTGAACTATTTCCCCGGTCTTGACCTCGAAAGGAGGAACGCCTTCGGGTTCACCGCCCTGATGAAAGCCGCCATGCAGGGTCGAACGGACTGCATCCGAGCCCTGATGCTGGCAGGTATGTCCCCTGTCCTGTGCAGCCTGCAGGGGCCCCGGGGCGCCAGGGTTGCTCCTTTACGAAATATGTTTTGAGAGTAATCACTCCCATAGAAACAAAGCCTAGTGTTGCAATAAAGAATAGATTCGTCACTTAGGTGTACTGCTGTCATTATCTGAGTTTTTTAAAAAGCCAAAAGCAGGTGCTTTCAGGATCACGGAGAGAAGGCAGGGCATTGGTTCCTGTCAGGATGCCCCTTTCTGCTCCCTGCGGAGCTTGGCAGTGGATGGCATCTTCCCTCACCCCCCATTTTCCTCCTGCTCACCCATTCTACTCTCCAAGCCCTGTCCTGTTCCTCCTCAGAAAGGGGTGATGTCTTGGCTGTAAAATGGCAAGACTGTGCTGCTGAAGGTGGGCATAGGGACTGTGAGAATGGCCCAGGCAGTCCTAGCTCCCTGCTTGCTGACGGGTGGCATTGCATAGTAACAGTAAGAGGTGACGTGGAATTGTATGGTAACGTTAGGAGGTGACGTGGGGTTGCGTGGTGGTGTTAGGAGGTGACGTGGGGTTGCGTGGTGGTGTTAGGAGGTGATGTGGAGTTGCTTGGTGATTTTAGGTGACGTGGTGTTTCTGGTGATGTGTGTGGCAATTTCCTTTTCCTGTGTTGTATTATAGAATGGAAAGTTCTCAGGCTAGCAGCCTGGATCAACCCCTCTTTGTCTTTTGTACCATCTTGGAAAAAGCACTTTCCTGTCCACATCTGTGAAATGGGAGTAATGACCTCTTTCTCCTCTTTCACCTCCCTGAGGCTGAAATATGACAATACTTTATACACTCCTAAGGGCTCTCCAGCTTCAATGAGCTACTACCCTAAATGACACACAACTAACAGCTTTAATTCTTGTCTTCTCTCTGAAATAGAATCGACAATCACCCTTCACGCAACCTCATCGGGTTGAGCATTAAATGGGAAAATGTGTGTCAAGCACACGTTGTATTAGATTTAATTAGCAGCTTACATCTCAGTGAATGTGCGATGCTGCTTTCACCATTCCTTAATTCTGTTATCTTATATTTATTTTTGTTCATGGCACTGAGTTCAGCCAGTCCTGCTTGGCTCTGCGAGTTCCTGAAGAAGTGCATTTCCTCTTAGTTGTTCTGCTGCTATAACAAAATACCTCACCTGGGTAATTTGTAAACCGTAGAAATTTATTGCTTGCACCTGAGGAGGCTGAGTCCTCCAAGATCAAGGTGCTAGCAGGTTCAGTGGCTGGTGACGCCCATTCCTTCTTGCTGTCTCCTCTCAAGGAAGGGGAAAACTGAGGCACCCTCAAGGCCTCTTTCATAAGGCACTAGTTTGATTCAGGAGGGCAGAGCCCCATAATCTGCTTACCTCCTAAAGGCCTCACCTCTTAATACCATCCCAGTGGGTCTGAAGTTCCAGCATAGGAATTTTGGAGGATCATCAGCATTCAGTCAACATTCAGACCACAGCACCCCTCCCTCACCCCACCCTTGGTTATCCTGAGGGTGGCATCAGAGTTTTCCCAGGCATCAGTGCTTCTACTAATGTCCCTTTTCTGTTCCAGGAGCCCTGCTGGGCTCCCACATTTATTTGTCCTCTCCTGAGTTGTCCCAGTCTTCTTCTCCTTTTTTATTTTGGGACTGTTTTACTGTCGCCCAGGCTGGAATACAGTGGCATGATCTCAGCTCACTGCAACCTTCACCTCCCGGGTTCAAGCAATTCACCTGCCTCACACTCCCAATTCGCCTGCCTCACCTCAGCCTGAGATAACAGGCACGCACCACCACACCCAGCTAATTTTTGTTTCATCATGTTGGCCAGGCTGGACTCGAACTCCTGACCTCAGGTGATCCACCCGATTCAGCCTCCCAGGGTGTTGGGATTACAGCCCCCAAGCCCCACCCCCAATATTCTTTGGTCTGAAGTTTCTGTCATAACCTGTTGTTCCTGATGGGACAGTCTTATCCCAGCCATTGTGCAGTGCCGCCCAGTCTGAGCCCATCTGTTGATTTTCTTGAGATTAATCTGGAGTTAGAGGATTCACAACTGCTTCAGATTTATTTTCCCTTCTGGTTTAACCTTAGGGGATTCTTTAGTCTTAGGGGATGCTATAAAAAAATAAGTTCAGTGAATGAGAATAGAGCCTTCAAAGATGGAAACTTTCTTGGAAATAAAAAAATTATAATTAAAATGAGTCCTATCAATTGTACTTTTGATTCAGAGATGATAGTTTCATTTTTAAAGAACGAGATTATCAGTTTCAACAGTTTCGGCCCCGCCTGTCCTTATCAATGAGAAATGGTTCCTTCTAATTAAATGGTGATTATGCTGTGCTTTGTGTTTGGCGGGAGCTTCAGACACTTTTACTATTTCTGGATCTAGTTATAATTGAGTGTAGATCTTTAGTAATTTACTTTTTCAACCGAACATTTATGATGTCAGTGACATCAGTGCACTTTCCCATTGAGTTAATTTGAGTTAACTACACACCTTTTTTAGGTCAGTTGCCCTCTAATCACTCTGCTTGATTGCGGTGCTTTCTTCCCTGGGTCTCCTGGGGGTTTCAGATATGGGTGACAGCATTTAGAGGATTCCAGAAACACCTTAACACATCTCTTGGAACAATGAGCCTGCTTGAGAGGGTGGTGGGTTTGCTGCTGACATTGCTTTTCTCCCATAAGTTATTTGGATACGAACTTGGCATTCGATTTATACTCTCCCTTCCCTGTTCCCTGATTTGCAAGCCCTGTCTGCCAACACAGTCTAGAGCAATCCACAGATTATTGTCTGCATCTAGTGAGTCTCTCCCTGTCCTGTACAAAGTACAACCCAGCAGCCAGGACCCAGCTTCAAATCCATCTTCTCCACTTTCCGTCTCTACACCTGCAGCCTGTCACTCACCTCACTGGGCCTCAGGTTCCTCTTCTATAAAGTGAGGCTAATGATAGCACCCACCGCAGGAAGGCGGGATAGGGACTGAGCAAGGTCACGTCGGAACAGCCCTGCCCCAGGTGCAGGCTGGGCTTGGAAAGCCTTCCCACCCTGTTGGTTGTGATTATTGTTATTATCATTATTGGTGAGTTTATGTGTTCAATAGTTATCCATTAAATGAATGAAAAAATGTTTATTTTTCCCTTTGAAAAATATCTTGTGAATGAGATAGTTAAGCTTTCTTAATGAGAGAAGTAAGTCCCTACCTCAGGGGTTTCTTAATTTCAGCACTACTGACATGCAGGGCTAGATAATTCTTTGTTGTGGGGCTTTCAAATTGTGGGATTTTTTTTTCCTTTGGAGACAGAGTCTCACTCTGTCGCCAGGCTGGTGTGCAGTGGCACAATCTCAGCTCACTGCAAACCTCTGACTCCCTGGTTCAAGTGATTCTCCTGCCTCAGCCTCCCAAGTAGCTGGGATTACAGGCACACGCCACCACACCTGGCTAATTTTTGTATTTTTAGTAGAGACGGGGTTTCACCATGTTGGCCAGGGTGGTCTTGATCTCCTGACCTTGTGATCCACCTGCCTCGGCTTCCTAAAGTGCTGGGATTACAGGCGTGGGCCACGGTACCTGGCCTCAAATGGTAGGATTTTTAGTAGCTTCCCTGGTCTCTATCCACAAGATGACTGTAGCACCTTCCCAGTTGTGACAACCAAAAACATCTCTAGATGTTACTAAAAGTCTCCCAAGTTGGGGGGAACATTGCTTCCCTGTGGAGAACCGCTGATGTCACTAATTTAAACGGGAAAGGATGGGCAAAGAGCGAGGAGACATTTTCCCCTCTGTGTGTTCTTCCTTCCTTGCTTTATCCCTCAGATAAAATGTGACATCTCGGCCAGGCATAGCGGCTCACACCTGTAATCCCAGCACTTTGGGAGGTTGAGGTGGGTGGATCACCTGAGGACAGGCGTTTGAGAGCAGCCTGGCCAGCATGGTGAAACCCCATTTCTACTAAAAATACAAAAACATTTAGCCGGGCATAGTAGCACATGCCTGCAGCTACTTGGGAGGCTGAGGCAAAAGAATTGCTTGAACCTGGGAGGCAGAGGTTGCAGTGAGCCGATATCGCGCCACTGCACTCCAGCCTGGCAACAGAGTAACACTCTGTCTCAAAAACAAAAACAGGACTTTTTTTTTTTTTTTTTTTTTTTAGGGAGCTTTTGAGCTGCCTGCTTAGGCTTTGGTTGTAGTGTTTAACTTCTAGAATATTTTCATCTTCTACTGTTAGTACTAAGTGAGCTTATATTTCTCCCAAGAAAAGTGGGTTATATTTTCCTTTTAAAGTAGGTATATGAGTATTAACAAAAAAAAGTGTTGAATTGTTTCCCTGGGATTAATGGACAGCAATAAGGACAGCTCTTGATATATTTTTAAAATTTGCACAAATATGTTAACTCTTACTCTTTCCATTTAAACATCTGATATTAAGAAAAATTAAACCATTTAAAGAAACTAATAGCCAGAGCCTTCTTTTAGATTGGCACTTCAGATTTTGATAAAAAGTATAACCAGGTTATGAGAAGCTGATGGATTACATCTCTGGTTTTGGCTTTGTAAGAAATAACGCAGGCTCTGCTGAAGAGCATCACGAGGGGACCTGCAGACTCTCGTCAATTCACTGAAATATGAATGCCCCACAGTGACAGGTCTATTTAAATAGGTGGCTCTGAGAAGTGTATTGAGGATATTATTTTTGTTCTGAAGAGAGGCAGAATTTGTGGAGGTTGGCAGGTTCCAGGCTTGCTTAAGAGAGCTCACTCAGACCTGAAGTGTGGTGTAACTGCTGCACCCTCAGGAAGCAAACACAAGCAACAGTCACCTCAAATCCTGCTGTGACTTTTAAGGAGCAAAGTGGATTTAAGGGATGACAAGGAACAGAGATCAGAGATGCTCCCACTGTGGGTGGGAGGGTTGCTTTTGTCTTAGGCAAACCCCGATATCTCCTTCTGGAAAGCCAGATGATTTCCAACCAGATAGAGGTTTCCTTTCTATTTGTGAGGAAAGCAGAGTTCCTTTTAAGTGTGAATTTGTGATGTAGAATTGTTTGAAGTCATTAGCCAGGAAAGGATGACAAGTCAAGCATTCTGTGTCACCCGAAAAGCAAACCCGAGACAAGGACTGTGCACTAAGGAGCAGGTTTCCTTTGCAGGCAGCTGGGACTCAGACCCCCTGGTGAGGAAAAGATACCGCAGAGGTGCTGGGAAGTTTATCCTCCAGCTCCAGTTCCTCTCTGAGGGGAGATGAGGACTTTGAGGACGCTTCCCACCTGCTGTGTGGTGGGGTGGCTGTCCTCACTGCTGGGCTGGAGCACAAGCCCTTTCTTGGGACCCTGCATCCAGATTTGTCATCCCGATTATACCCACAGTGCCCAAGATACAGGCTGGAGGTGACACAAGAGGAGGCAGTGAGGGCTGGTCCACAGTGTTCCCCTGTGGCCAGGAAAGGCCCCCTGGCAAGAGGGAGACCTGAGCTGGGGTTTGTAGGGTGGATAACAAGGGGCTGGGTGGGGGCTGGTGGAGAAACAGGAAAGGAAGTGACACATTCAGAGCTTCGTGCTCCACCCACCTCCTGCTAGTCCTGGGCCTGGCCATGGCCCGCCTGGTGAAAGCATTCGAGAGAATGAGTGACGGACAGTATCCATTTTTTTTTTTTCATTTGCATCTGTTTGGAATGCTTTTGGTTGCAAGTAACAGAAATCCTGACCAGACAGTGGCTGAAAGAAAACAGGCTGCATTTCTCAGCTCCCTAGAACTCTGAGGTTGGCAGTCACCCTCCAGAGCTGGCCCTGGACTCCATAAGGACAACACAGACCCCTGTGGCTTCCTCCTGTCCATTCGGTTCCCCTTAGCCTGTTGATCTGTCACCTCTTGATTCCGTGAGAATCACCCAACCCTTGTTTCAGACAGGAAGCTGCAGCAGCACCAACCACGATAGTCCCTTTCTTCAGGAGGCAAAACCCTCTTTAGGTCTCAGTGGCCACTGCCGGATTGCTTGGCTACTTTTAGTTCTAAGGGAGGCGGGGGAAATGGGGAACAGGATTGCAGCCATTGGAATCGACTAGTGATTCTCAGCTGGAGGTAATGGTGCCCAGGGGACATTTGGAGAAATGCGTCTGGAGACATTTTTGGTTGTCAGAACTGGCAGAGTGCCACTGGCATCTAGAAGGAGGTAGGGATCAGGGATGCTGAAATGTTCTCCAATGCACAGGACAGCCCACACCAAATAATCACCTGGCCCAGTATGTCAATAGTGCCAAGGTCCAGAGGTCCTGGGTTAGACAGATCATGATTTATTGCCAAGAACGGGGGATGTTGCTACCTCAAGTGAAACAGGATTTTGCGTAGACTTAGAGCACTCAGCAAGGCAGCAAATGGACCCGTGGGAAGCAGCCCCACGCCTGTTCACCTAGGCAAACAACACTGGGTGGGAGGCGAGAATGCTGGGGGTCTCCTGGGGAGAAGATGGCTACGGTGGTATTTCAGAAATCCGCTGTATTCTCTGGAAGGTATTTGTGTAATGTTCATCATCAGTACTTGTCTTTTGTAATTTAACTACTGTGTTCAGGTCATTCATGTGACCCTTTACACTCTTTTCCAAGGCAGCAGATCCCTAATTTATAGCATGACTCAGATTCTAGGGCCCCGTGGCCTTTGTTCCTTAGAGTGTTTGTATTTTCTGAGATCAGAAAAGGTAGGCGAGCATCAGGACGAAGAGCACAAAACTTTGGACAGCTCTTCCTCTAGTTTTCCATTAATTTGAAAAATGTCTCTTTCAGGCACTGTTCATTAAGATTTTAATTTTGCAGTTTGTTCCTTTTTTAAGTGACATGCAATTAATTAAGGTTTAATGTGTCATCTATTTTTTGCAATGACACTTTTACTGCCCCCTTTTCATTTTAGTCAGTTTATAAATTGTACTCTAGCTAATGAGTTCCATCCTGATCTCCAGTTCCAAATAATTACCACTCTTCTAATATGGCTATTCTTTAATGTGTCACAGAGTTAAGGTCCTTACCAGGCAAAGCTCAGGTGAGCTAGGTCTGCTGGAGCCATGATACCGGTGCAGGCAGCGGGGCAGGGCAGGGCAGTGGCTGGGGACCCCAGCCTTCCTCACTTCGGCACATATTGATCAGCCATCGCTTGCCAGACACCTGGGTCTGTGTGGGAGTGCGGGATGTAAATGAAGAAGCGTCTGTCAGGCCTGGTCCCCGAGGGGCTCACAGACTAGGTAATTGCCCTAGTTCTAACCATGTTGCTTTGCCTGTGGAGGATTTGACTAACGGGACTTGAAATTCTCAATTTTTTTTTTTTTTCAAGATGGAATTTCGCTCTGTTGCCCAGGCTGGAGTGAAGTGGCACAATCTCAGCTCACTGCAACCTCTGCCTCCTGGGTTCAAGCAGTTCTCCTAGTCTCAGCCTCCTGAGTAGTTGGGATTACAGGCACCCGCCAACACGCCCAGCTAATTTTTTTGTGTTTTTGATAGAGATGGGGTTTCATCATGTTGGCTAGGCTAGTCTTGAACTCCTGACCTCAGGTGATCTGCCCACCTCGGCCTCACAAAGTGCTGGAATTACAGATGTTAGCCACCTGCACCTGGCCCCTCAATGATTTTTAACAGTATGTGGGGCTGAGATTAGACCAAGATTAATTGAACAGCAATTCCATATTAATTTCCATACTGCAATGTTGAAATTTATGTAGATTTCATCAAGTTGAGTTCAAGTTTAACTTTGCAATATTTGGGTGCAGTGGGTGGCCTGGGGAGATTTATTAAGAGTGGCTGGGGAGACTGTGTAAGGGGACATGTTAGTCAACCAATAGGATGTGGATATCAAGAGATTTATTTTTTAAGGAATTGGCTTGTGTGATTGTGGGGGTTGGTGAGTCTGAAGTTGGTACAGTAGGTGTGAGAGCTGGAAACTCAGGCAGGAGTAAGTAGATGCTGCAGTCTTGAGGCGGAATTTCTTTTTCTCCAGGAAACCTCGCTCTTTGTTCTGAAGGCCCTCAATTGATTGGGTGAGGCCCACCCACAATATGAAGGGTAATCTCCTTGACTTAAAGTCAACTGATTATAGATGTTAACCACAGCTGCACAATACCTTTGGGGCAACACCTAGATCCATGTTTTATTAAATCACTGGTATTCTAGCCTAGCCAAGTTGACATAGAAAACTAAAACTAACCATCACACCAGCCCTGCCAGCAGATGGTAGGAAGTACGTTAGACTGAGGTCAGGACACCCAAGTCTTAGACTCCCAGTCTGTTACCAGCTTGGCGGTCCCAGGCAGGTCCTACAGCCACTGTGACTGCCATTCATTTTGCAACAAGCCTTTTTAAAATTCACGCCCCCTACCCACCAGCATGAGAGGTATTGAGCAAACAAAAATGAATGTTTCTGTCCTGGAAAAGCCCAGCATCTGTTAAAGGCGGTCAGACCCCAGCGAGCTAGGCCTCAGTAGGAGAAGCAGAGAACACCCATTTCCCACAGTCCAGAACCCACGGCAGTCCTCAGAGTGAGGCCACAGCTGGGGCGCCGACCACTCTGTGAGTGACTGCTACTGGTCGTAGTTTTAGGACATTCTAGGCGCAGCATTCAAGTATCCAAGGCAGCTTTATTGTCTAGTCATCTCTTATTTCTTCAAAACATTCTGCGGTTTAGGTGCTGAATTCAGGTGGGGTTTTATTCAGGACGGATAATCAAACGGAGCACTTAAAAGGCAGGTTGGGCTGGGCACGGTTGTTCACGCCTGTAATCCCAGCACTTTGGGAGGTGGAGGCGGGAGGATAGCTCGAACCCAGGAGTTCGAAACCAGCCTGGGCAACATAGCAAGACCCCATCTCTACAGAAAATTAGCTAGGCGGTGGTATAGTCCCAGCTACTCAGGAGGCTCACTTGGGAGGATCACTTGAGCCCGGGAGGTGGAGCCTGCAGTGGGCCGGGTTCCCACCGCTGCACTCCAGGCCCGCCTTCGGGCGCTCAGGTGTGCACGGGGTTCACGGAGTGGCTGAGTCTGTTAGGAGGTGCGGGGGCAGTTTTGCCTTTGACTCAGGCTCTGCCTTGGGAGGGAAGAGTCCTGGTTGCTACCACCCACTCCTGTTTATGTTTTGCGTTTTGCAGGGGCGGATGTCCACGCGAGGGACCCCCGCCGTGGGATGTCGCCGCAAGAGTGGGCCGCTTACACGGGCCGCGTGGATGCCGTTCGCCTCATGCAGAGGCTGCTGGAGCGCCCCTGCCCGGAGCAGTTTGGGGAAAAGTACCGGCCAGAGCTGCCGCCGCCCCCCGAGGCTGCGAGGAAGCCCGCGGGCTCCAAGAACTGCCTGCAGAGGCTCACGGACTGCGTGCTGTCCGCGCTCACGCCGCGCTCCGTGCGGAGCCCAGAGGATGGGGGCGCCCTGGACCACATGGTCAGGATGACCACCAGCCTCTACAGCCCCGCGGTGGCCATCGTGTGCCAGACCGTGTGTCCCGAAAGCCCCCCGTGCGTGGGGAAGCGGCGGCTGGCAGTGCAGGAGATCCTGGCGGCGCGGGGGCCCCGGGCGCATGAGACGGAGGAGGCAGGGGGCGCGGGGCAGCGCGGGCGGACAGGCCCGGCAGACGTAGGCTCCCAGGAGGGATCCCCGAGAGCCAGCCTCCCGCCCGCCCCGCCGCCGGGGTCCCGGGGCCCCGCCGCGCCCGCCCCGCGGAAGTCCAGCCTCCTGCCCCTGCAGCGCCTGCGGCGGAGCAGCGTGCGGCCCGGAGTGGTGGTGCCCCGGGTCCGCGTCTCCAAGGCGCCGGCGCCCACCTTCCAGCCCGAGCGGCCTGCGCGGAAGGGCAGCACCAAGGACAGCGGCCACCTGCAGATCCCCAAGTGGCGGTACAAGGAGGCCAAGGAGGAGAAGCGCAAGGCGGAGGAGGCGGAGAAGAAGCGCCAGGCCGATGCGCAGAAGGAGAAGCGCCCACCGCCTTGGAAGAAGAGGACGTGAGGGCCTGTGTGCTCTGCGCGGGGTCCAGGGCCAGGGCGAGGCCGCGGGGCTGGGTGCGGAGGAGGAGGCGGCTCCGCTGCGCTGGGTGCGAGGAGCAGCACTGCTGCTTCCAGGACCACGGGGCCGCGCACGTTTCCAAGCTGTCTGTCTAGGATGCTCCCAGGAGGGGGCTGGGGGAGCCACTTTGATTCGCCTGTCATCAGCCCCCTGGCAATCAGTACACCTAGCGGGCATGTTGCCTAGAAGACTCCTTTTAGAGAACCTGAATTAAGATTTTTTTTTTTTTTTTAAAGATCAATTTATCAAAGGGCATTTTCTGCGTAATTTTGTATTTTTAATCATTATTTATCAAATTTGCAACGTTTTACGAGTGATAGGGCCCCTTGTATCCAAGGCAGTTTTAATACACTTGCCCGAAAACCTTTTGTTTTAAATACTGTTTCTAGCGTTAAATATTTATGGTATCTGTATGAGTTCACACAGAAATCCTGGGATTCTCCTTTTTTTGGCTGTTTGTTTTGGTGTTTTCTCCTCATCGTGGGTGCAGATACAAACTGAATGTTCTTTTTAATTAGATGAAATGATGCCAGATATTTCTATTTGATGGAGGTATTGTCTCATTCAGACACATGATCAAGTGAGACAGAGAGATCAGATGTTATTCTATCTTTTAAAAACTCTTAATACAGTAATATATTGGGGAAAAACATATATCGTCAAATTATAAAACAATTCAGAGATAAACATGTATTTATTGCTAGAATTAAACTCATTTTAAGCAAGGGGTTTTAGCTAAACGATAAAAAAAAACTTTAACTTATTTAAAATAGGAGAAAAAACTGTCATTTGATAAAATGGAAGCAAATTTAGTAAATGATTATCAGAAATACAAAATTAAGCCATATGCGCTCTTAAGTAAATCGAATCCAGATATCCTTAAAATGTAAGAAAGATGTAACAGAGTCAGGAGCCCAAAACCATGCGAATTACAGGAAAGGGGGGGAGGTGGTTTTGAGAACAGGTGATGAGAATGGAATAGGAAGTAAACTTGTTTTGGGCAAATTCTCCTGGAGTGGTCTGGGGAGCCCCTCCTCCAGACTCAGTTCCAAAGAATCCCTTGTGTGGTTATTTCTTTTATTTTTCCTTTGAGGACTGCACTTGGTATTTAGTTCATCCTCATGCTAACCTCATAGAATTTCCAAGACGTGGAGCCTTGGGCAGGGCAGGGCATGGGTGTGATTTGCCTTGGGCCGAAAGCTCTCAGTGAGAGTTTTATGTCCACACTTTTATTTCCAAAGTGACATGGAGATCACTTTTCTCAGTGGTCCAATTAGAATTTATCAAAGAGCGTTTTCTGCATAATTTTGTATTTTTAATCATTATCAGATTTGCAGCATTCTAATTTGGCAGGGCAGGGTATGAAAGCTGGAAGCTCAGGCAGGAGTTTCTCATTGTAATGACTCTCACCATGTGGGTTGTAGAGTATCTGTCACATATGCACTTTATTTCAGTATTAATTTAAATACTTGGATGCACACGCTCACAGGCCTATTTGGAGGCTCTGTCCTATGACACCTAATAATTCTAGGTACATCGTGATACGGAGTGTCTGTCTCAGGACACAAGCAGGGCTGGCGCAGGCTTCTCCGGGCTCCCTTCCTCCTGGCACCATCAGGCATCAAGCAACCAGGAATCTGAGACTGGCCTCCTGAAAGCTCCACTGAACAGGACTGCAGGCTGCACCCAGGCTAATGGGAGACTGGTGTGACGATGATACCGTGTTTAAGATCAGACTTCTTGCATGATCCCAAAAGGCACTGTGATGAATGCACTGGGGAACTAGACCCTCTTTGAGAACTGCAGGTATTAGTTGACTGTGAGTCACCCTCATGGCCAAGGAGTTGGGATTGGCCATGTCCCCTTCGAGCAGGTGGGGACTGTGACTGACACCGGTTATCTTTGGGGGTTGTCTTTGCTGAATCCTCTGGCATTGTGGCACCTTCCTGCCACACGTACACAATTCACAGCATTACCAAGTCACCACGAGCCCCACCCTCACCTTTGTCAACTGAGGACCCCGCCAGGCAGGACCACATGGTCTTCCAGGCATGCTTCTCGACACCAGCTACCCCCGCTGTGAAAGTTCTCAAGGCATTGGCTGGGGAAGATGAGCCCTGGGCCTGTCCTGAAGCTCCGCAGATGACTGCTCAGCCTGCATGGAGAACTGTAGTGCTAACACTGTGACTGCGAGGGGAGAGGACACCCATCCCAAGCTCCCACAAAGGGCTTCGCCTTCTCAAGAATGTCTCATTGTCATGGGAACAGCCAGGGTCAGGCAGCTTCTGTGTGGACTGATGTGGCGTCTGACCCTTGGAGCATTGCCAGGCATCCTGCCTGTTTCCACTGAGGGAAGTTGGCACTGGGAATGGTATGGAGTCCCCACTTCTACCCTAAGCCTGGGTGTCTGCTGCTTCCGTGTCAAAAATGGACATTTCTGGTCCTGCCGAGCTGCTACCTCACCACAGGCCATGCTCAGAGTCTGCAGGGACAGCAAACGGCTGGCGATTTCCCTAGGTCCCACGCTGTTCTGGAGTGGACACGTTGCGGCCCTGCCCCTGATGTGTTGCAGCCTCATCCAGGTGCACAGGAGACCCTGGGCCTAGCACAGGGCTTGTCCCGTCATGCTACTGGCATCCACAAGAGCTCTAGAGACACCTGCATTTTGAAAACCCTCCCGAGCCAGCAAGCGTGGGGCAGGACATGGAATCTTTTGGCAAATCTGAAGGCGAGCTGGCCACTTGCCTGGTGAGGGGAAGCTGCTGTTACCTGGCCAGTGTTTGCAACTTGAGGGAAAATGACAGCTTCATGGGGGGCTCTGCTGGGACTGGGAAGCCTCACCTCCCAGGCAGCTTTGGTGTGGCCTCAGTGGGAAGACTGGATTTTGAAAACCCACCAGATGCAACTGAAAGAAGGGTCATTCCTGACTGAGTTGGAGACTCCCGGGTCCTCTCTCTCTGGCCTCGTTCTAGCCGTGCTCTGTCTGTGGGCAGCCCTTCCCTCTGGCGCATGAGGCAGGTCCGGACAGCTTCTGCGGCTGTGCTCGCGGCTGCTGGCCCAGCACTTTTCCTTTTTGCCATGTAGAAGCAGATTTGCTAGGAGAGGAATTTTCCAAGTCAAGGGACATGTCACCAAGCCTGTTTCCTCCACCGGTGGGGGTAGGGGGGCTTCTGCTCTTGCTTCCTCATTCTCTTTGGAGTGGGCATCAGAGGGGACAAGCAGGCCCCCAATCAGGCTCAGGGAGTGCAGGAAGCCAGGGAGGGAAGCCCAGACGATGGGGAAACGGAGCCACCTTGAGGGGGTGTTGTGGGATCAGTGTCAGGGCAATCTGATGGGCCAGTTTATACTTAAGCAACATTATTATGTTCACTTCTTTTGGGTAAGGGATTCCTCACGGGAGGTGTGGTCATCTGTTCCCAGAGGTGGAGAGAAACTCCCCCTCGTCTTCCTGAGCCATTTGGAAGCCCTTTCTTCTAGATCTAGGTACTGGTAACATGAGCCCCTCAGTCTTAGGATGTGGACGGGGCTGGAGGGTACAGGCTTCTTGTCTCCTTCCCCACTCAGCACCATCAGCATCCGGCAGTCAGAGGCCTCCCAGTGGCCACTCCAAAAACCTGGTGTCCTTGGAGAACATTTTTCCTGTTTGTCTATTTTCAGTGCTTTGAACAGCAGCATTCACTCACTGAGGACTCGCCCTCCCTGCACCCGCCATGTGGTTCAGGAAGGAGGGGACTGATAGGCACTGACCCCTTCTCCTCTCCTGTCAGTGGCCACCACAGGGCCCCCTCTGGCTTTGTCGCCACGTTCTCCCACCCCCCTGTCACCTCGTCTCTTCTTCCTTATTCCCTTTTCCTTCCTTTGCCTGTTTTCTTCTCACAGCTGCTTCTTGATCGTCCCTGGCACCACCTACCCTGAGGTCTACCAAGGACAGAAATGGCAGGACCTCTGTGAGGCAGTGTGGTGTCCCTGTGGGGTTACCATAGTGGGACCTCCTCGCCCCCAGAGTGAACGAACGGCCGGCCAGCCAGTGTCTGTGCTGATGGCTTAGAATTACTACACAGCCCCTCCTCTTTGCTGGGAAGGGAGAGTCAGCCCAGCCCCTGCTGCGCACAGGGATAGGGCTCCCTGATGTTTATTAACTGTAGATAGTGAATTTCAAGTTGACAGGTACCTTCTCAGGGAATTATATATAAATGTAGTTAGAGGAAAAGTTGAAGTCTATTTTACTACTTTTTAGTGTTTGAGTAAATTATGCTTTAACTGGACAGAAGAAATATTTCTCAGACAATGTCTATGCTGCTGATTACAACTGAGATGCCTGGAGCTCACCCCTTGAGGGAGACTTCCTTGGTGATTAGAGATTTGGGACTCTGGCAGCGGAAACGGCTTTGGGGTGGGTGTGAAGTCACTTCATTCCCTCTGAGTTGCCTCTTGTGGATGGAACGTATGTGTCAACAACAATGAAATCCACCTCTGTGTGCGTGGAGGCGGCTGATGAGAACAGACAGGCCTAGTCCTCACTCTTCCCTCCAGAACCGGCCACTCCGGTCTGACGTTGGAGCATGTGAACTAACAGTGGCCATTTTTTTCTACTTGCTTCTGTGAATAAAGTGTTCTATAGTCAGCCCAGCACTAAACTCACCAGAAGAGAGGAGGGCATGGCGTGGAGCCGCTCATCTGGAATTACCTTGGTGTGCAGAGGCTGTCCCTTTGCCACGCTTGGAAAACGCAGTGGGAAACATCATGGGCTTCTTTGTTCTTCTAGCTCCAGACTTCTGGCGGTTCTGGGGACCTCAGGACTATGGAGATCAGAATTGCAGTGGCTTCATCTCAGCATGGCCACTCCTGAGACAAGAGGCTCCTCCTGGGAGCAGGAGAGAGGAAGTTCATGATGTCGATTGGAAAACAGGATTTATGGACGCAGGAAGAGGGGATGTGCTTGGCCCCTCTGCCCACTTCTCTCCCTGCTGTCTGCGGTGACCAGGTTTCTGGAGTGGAGAAGAGCCGGTTGTGAGTGAAAGAGAAGCCCCTGGGGTAGGGCCAGACCCCAGGCCTGAAAAGGATGCAAAGTCTGCTGCTTTCAGGCGTCGGGAAGAATCGTGGGTACCAAGCGACTATGATGAAATGCATCCCAGAGAGGAAATGAATGGGCCTTAAGAAGTGGGCCTAACACACCCCTGGTAGCCCTCCTGCAAGAACACTACACTGCCCGCCCGCCGTCCACACTACATGACGCAGGAAGGCTGTCTGTCCATCCTTACCCTGGGGAGCCACGCCTGCTTTGCGGAGTGAGTTGCAGCCCTGACCTGTGCCCTGTGTTACTCTCTCCCCAGATGCGCCCAGAGACTCAGGCTTTCTCACTTGCGTCCTGACACAGCTCGCTGTTCCCGCGGTGGTCAGTCCCGCTGTGCTGTGTCAGCTCCCAGACACCACTGGTCTTTCACATGCTACAGCGCGAGCACACAGTTTCCCTTTCACAGTATTTGGGGAAATTCTAACATACTCCCCGGGGATTTGCACAGGTCCCTCCGCTTCCCACGTGGGTAGCTGTGTAGATTCTGCTCCTGGCAGTCGGCGATCCCCCTCAGAAGCCACCGGAGGGCCTGGTCCTTGGCTTCTACCACAGCCCCTTTCCTTCAGCACCTGCCTGGAGGGCCACGGTCTGGGGAAGGACAGGGAGGACCCTGGATATGACAGATCGTCTGAAGCAACAAAGCCACGTGGAGGAAGACAGCTGAGTTGGGCGGGTGCCAGTGCAGCAGGCGTGCCAGGAGTGCTGAGACCTGACCACAAAAGCGGTTCCTGCCATGGCGTGGCTTGCATGCCCCCACCCCTGTGCCACCTGGTGCACATTTGGGACTTGCTTCTGCGTCGGTGTAGCTCCAGTCGGCTGCTTTCTGTGCCCTTGCACTCATGGGTTCCTTCATTAACATTTTAAATAAGTGGCTAAAAAAAACTCCTCTGGAGGCTGTTTTTGAAAGAAACAGGATAAAGAAAAACACATACACTACCTGGGTTGATGTGACTAATTTTCGAGTGACTCGGTTGAAGGCCGGTGTTGCATACACTGTTTCCTCATGCTGACCTAGCCCAAAGTAAGACTTGATAAAAGGCACAGCCCTGGGCAGCAGGCAGTGCCAACGTGGACGCCTACACTAAGGTGTGAGTGTGTGCACAGGCAAGCACACGCGTGCAATGAACTGAAGGGACACTCGGGCTTTGTGCTAGCAAAGGTGATGCTGCTGCCGTTGCTTGGCTGTGGGCCCCAGGCAGGGGCAGATGGGACCTGCTTTGATGGCGTGCTGTTTAGTGGACTTGTGGGGTCTCGCACGGTCCCAGGACCCACTGTGTGCACCCTGCCCACTGTGGCACAGAACACAGCTGGAGTTGTCATAACAGGTCTTTATTAAAAGGAGGTGTTGACCCAGATGGCTCATCTAGAACCCTTTTGGCTCATCTAGAATGCCTTGGCCGCATGGAGGCACTCAGATCCAAGGGCCCCAGGCCCATGAGGGTTCTTTCCCCGCTGAAAGAGCTCCCCAGGCATTCAGCCCTCAGCATGTGCTGCGGGTTACCCTCAGAATCAACATCTCCCTGAAGAAGCCCTGGTATTTTCCCAGGTCTGCCTACATATCAGATACTCTAATCAGTGCTAACACAGTTCAGTTTTTGAGGGAAATAGTTTTGTCATAATGCTACATCCTTCTATTTTTTAAAAATAAAAACGAGAAAAAAATGAAGCTATCCATCAGGTAAAGCAATGGTCCACATTGGCCTGATGGTTTATGAAGTTTTGGGAGATAGGTGTGGAGGGATCTTAACACCAGTTCTTAAGCAAAACTTCTAGAAGCTAGTTTAGAACTGCACAGCTGTGGATACATCCAATGAAAACTGCAAAAGGCGGTGACAGGCCCAGAAATATGACTAGCAATTATACCCCTTCAGATGAACAGTAAAAGCCAATGTGCTGGAATTCTCTTCGTTCTGCCTGGCATCTGGGAGTGTCCAAGGACCTGTGTTTTTAACAAAGATGACTTTATGACCATTCTAAGGATGGAACAGATTCCTGCACAGGGTGTCAGGTTTCAAGTTAGGTCCTCTTAGTATAAGCTCTCTTCCGAATGTAAACCTATTTGCGTTGTCATTTCTAAAAATCCAGTAGGTTTCTGGATATTGTAAAGATACTGAGTACAGATACAATTGTGTAAATTTCATAGTGTTTTATTTTGAGGTGAGAGTTTTGTTAGAGTTTATAAAAGATATTTTCCTATTCAGACCTCAGGGCTATTTTGGGACCTACAAATAAATGTGACTCCCAGCAGCTTCAATTTTTGATATTCAAAAAGTTAATAAACTTTAAATTAAACATAATGTGATATTATTCAGCAAAGAGAATGTTTTTCCCTTTTAACTTCTCACAAATTGTGTATCTAATGTTTAAAAAATATGGAAAAATTGTGATAATGTTAAAATGTGGGAGAATTGTGGCTAAAGAATAAAAAAAATCACTTGCTAAATAAAACATATTCTTATGGTCCAAAAGTATGATATTTGAATAAACTTAAGTGCATATAAAGTAGAGAATGAAATAATGAAATATGCCAGGGTTTTTCATGTCACTTCCTTCTTTTCATTGAAATAGATGTGCACGTTCTTATTGTGACAAGCTTTCACTTTATTTTTCAAAGGTAAGATTTAAAACTTGTGAGTTCCCCACGAGTAGTTTGTCACATGATCTCTTTATAATTCGCTTCTTTCCAGAAGAACTGATTGGCAGGTGGGCATCTGTCATGGCAGGGGTGTTGCCATGAATTTACATACATACATAGAAACAAGAATATAGTTCCGTTTCTGTGTGTTCTTTTACCCAAACGGTGCCTTGTACAGGTGGTCCGTCAGTTTCTTTACTTAAAATATTCCCTAGAGAGCTTTTCAAACAATTTAAATACTAGTTTTATTTTCTTTTGACAGCTATAAAAGTAATAACACAAATATGAGAGAAAAAATTTAAAGATTGTACAAAGCTCTCAGATGAAAAGTGACTGTCTTCCCCGAGGACAGTCCCTCGGACAAGCTACTTGTACACTTGTACATCCTTCTAGAAATAGCCTTTTTTTTTTTTTTTTTTGAGACAGAGGTTTACTTTTGTTGCCCAGGCTGGAGTACAATGGCACAATCTTGGTTCACTGCAACCTCCATCTCCTGGGTTCAAGTGATTCTCCTGCTTCAGCCTCCTGAATAGCTGGGATTATAGGCAGGTGCCACCACACTCAGCTGATTTTATATGTTTTAGTAGAGACAGGGTCTCTCCATGTTGGTCAGGCTGATTTTGAACTCCTGATCTCAGGTGATCCACTTGCCTTGGCCTCCCAAAGTGCTGAGATTATAGGCATGAGCCACCACACCCAGCCTAGAAATATCTTTGTAATGTGTTCTTCCCTCTATGCTATGCAAACAGGACCCCATGGGACATAGAGTCCCATTCACCCACTCACTGTGTTTTGGGGAGAGCTGTTGGCTCCCGTTTTGTTCTTTTTCATTGCTGTGTAGTATTCCTCAGCAGAAGGGCACCATGGTTCATTTAACCATTTTTTCATGGATTATTCAGATGGTCCCAGCTTTTACGATTTGCTAGTACTGAAGATCCTTGTACCTACTGAATTGTGTACTCAAATGGATGTCTTTTAATATAGGAGTGCAGAAATGAGATCTGCCAGATTTAAGAGAATGTGTGTTTTATTGCTGTAGTCACTGCCATGGCGCCCTTTTCAAAGTTCTGCGGTGTGCCCAACCACCAGCAGGGGGCGAGAGAGGCCCTTCCCCATAGAAAATTGTATCTCGTTTTAATTTTCATTTTCCCAGTTGTTTTGAGGCTGAGCATCTTTTCACATGTTTTCAACCATTTTAATTTCCTGTTTTTATACATTTCTTATTTATATCCATGTCTCATTTTTTTCCCCTAAGGATGGCAGTGGGGGGGGGGGTTGGAATTTTATTTATTTTATTAAAA